TTAATGGGTAGCAGGTTTAAAACTAATAAAAGGAAGTTCTTCTTCACACAGCGTGTTGTCAACCTGTGGAACTCCTTGCCAGAGGAGGCGGTGAAGGCTAGGACTGTAATAGAGTTTGAAGAGAAGCTGGATAAATTCATGGAGGTTAGGTCCATAAAAGGCTATTAGCCAGGGGATAAAATGGTGTCCTTGGCCTCTGTTTGTCAGAGGCTGGAGGGATGGCAGGAAACAAATCGCTTGATCATTGTCTTCAGTCCACCCTCTCTGGGGCACCTGGTGCTGGCCACTGTCGGTAGACAGGATACTGGGCTAGATGGACCTTTGGTCTGACTCAGTACAGCCGTTCTTATGAGCTTTTGTGGACCAGACCCATTTCCTCAGATCAAATAGTGGAAGAAAATAGTCACAGCCATATATACCAAAGGATACAATTTTTAAAAATGAACACCTATGAAAAAGACAAATCCAATTTCAGAATAGAAATGGGGGGGGGGGGAGGGAAGGTGAATGTCTGTGGGCTAATGATATTAGAGGTGATAATTGGGGAAGCTATCTTTGTAATGATAGCTTCCCCAATTATCACCTCTAATATCACTAGCCCACAGACATTCACCTTCCCCCTCCCCCATCCCTCTTCTATTCTGAAATTTGATTTGTCCTTTTCATAGGTGTTCATTTTTTAAAATTGTATCCTTTGGTATATATGGCTGTGACTATTTTCTTCCACTATTTGTTCTGAGGAAATGGGTCTGGCCCACGAAAGCTCATCATCTAATAAACCATCTTGTTAGTCTTTAAAGTGCTACATAGACCTGTATTTTGCTTTTAAAAAGAGTATTTGTCTTAACTATCTGTACAGAAAATACTGTTTCTAGCGATAACTTGGACTGTAACAATTGCATTCCCTCAAGAAGACTATATTGAGAAGTTGTACTATACAAAAATAAAGTTCTCTGGAAAAATGGAGACAGTGTTTCGGATCGCATATTCCCCTAAGATACAGTCACTCCCTTGAGGATAAAGCAAATTAGGGTTTAACTCAGGTCAGTCACATTATGAAAACTAGAGAGATGACTAAAACAAGTTTGTGGTATCTGGAAAAAAATTGTTAGCCCATATACTGATTAAATTTCTTCTGTTTAATTCCAAGTGTTGATTTTTTACTGGAAGTAAGCTTTTTGTACTTTCTAAAAACACAACCCACTCCTGTAAAACAAAGCAATATTTTCTTCCAGCAAGATGGGTGGTAGAAACATTCACGCTTATAAGTTTGTAAAGTAACTCAAACTGCTTGTTGTAGCACTGACATAGACAAATGACTGATATGGTTTTTGACAACTGAGTTTCTTTTACTTCAACATTATAAACTCGTCAAATTACCTTGCCCATCGTGGACCAGTTCAGTGAATGTGGATTTTATGAAAACAAATTCTCTGTCTTGCATTTCAGTGTTCTTTTCTTTTCATGAATATAGTGCTATAATCATGGGTGATATCCACAGGAAAAGAGGGGCAAATCTATGTATAATTATAGTCTGTAGACAAAAGTATACAGCAACAAATATAATGGAATGCCCATTGATGGCAGTAGGGGATGTGGTTATACAGGGATTAGGGGAGAATATGACCTTCATTAATTAAATGGTTTGTTATGTGTTTAGGAAAAAGAATATATTGTTACTGTTAAATACGACTAAGTGAGAAAATAGAGTCTCCATTAACTGACAGCCATATATGTTGAAAATTGTGGCCATAACTAACATGTACAATATATTAAAAATAAATACATTGGTTCTAGGGTCTAATGTATTCACGCACAAAAATATTACTAAACAAGACAAGAACATTCTACTTTTGAAATCAGTAGTCACTGCAAATATAAGTTCTTGTCAAATAAACTTAATTTCAATTGTGTTACCAATAAAGGCATTCTTTTCATTACATTGTAGCTTAGAATCATAGAACACTAGAACTGGAAGGGACCTCGAGAGGTCATCGAGTCTAGTCCCCTGCCCTCACGGCAGGACCCAGTACTATCTAGCCCATCCCAGGATAGATGTCTATCTTACCTGCTCTTAAATATCTCCAGAGATATGTTAATGAAACTAGTCAAGTACTAAAATCTGATAAGATTGTACATAAGCTCCTTACAAAAATGGCTTCTTTGTTCTAGATGGGGGCTACTGGCAATTCCTTGTTCCTAATGGAGTTACAGGCAATTTCATGCATTTTCCTTTGTTCACTTGGTCAGTTTTCTGCACATACTTTCAAAGATGAACAATTTGCATTATACATACTGATTTAAAAATACCTAATATCTTCACTTGTTCTTTAATAGTTAGTAATTAAAGCTTAGTATTTTAGTTGGACATTTAATACAACTGCAAATTCTAGTTAAATAAAAACCAAAAATCACTTTCAATGATTTCCTCCATTAAAAAGTTTAAATATTAAAAAGCTAAGGTGATTGAAAAAAAATTCATTTTTTTTAATAGGAACAGAAATGAAAGTGAGTGTGGATAAAAAAAAGTCTGGAAGTCCTGCAATAACACTTAGCATTGGAACTTCTCCAATGGAGATATCAGTGGATATAATCTTGGCTTTGGAAGTTAGGAGTTCCAGCTGGCCTGCAAGTACCCAGGATGGCCTAAAAATTGAAAAATGGCTAGGAAGCAAAGTCAAACAAGACTATAAATGGAAGCCAATATATCTAGTACCCAAACATGCTAAGGATGGAAGGGTGCTAAAAGGTACTGTTTTTATTTTGAATACAAACTAATTTTTTTTTTTATGAGAGGTCTTCTGCTTAATTAGTAATTACCTGACAGCTGTAAGGGGAAAACTACATATTACTATTGTTTTTGTTAGTAAGCCAGGCATGCAGTATTCTTCATAGTCTGTCTTGGCCCTGACTACCTCTGGATCAGTACTCTCATCTAAGAAAATCCCGTATTTGAATTACTAAATTTGTCCTACTTTTCATGTTGTGGAGACGCTGTATAAAGAAATCTCCTACCCTCAAGATCTTACATAAAGGTGGCTACACTGAATTAATTTGAGATAGAGCCTCTCTGAAGTATTTATCACCTTTTTCTGTTCTACAATAGAAACCTATGAGAATGAAAGAAAGGATGCTTTTTCACACATAGAACATCAAAATGAGTTTCTGTATGTGAAGTTGAATGATTTAGTCTGAACAAAAATGCATGCAAAACCTCTATGTTTTGCACTGTGAGGGTAATTTACTGGATCCTCCTCTATCAAGTTCAGTTTTTTTTTTTTTTTGTAAGTGCACCACTGTCATCATTTTATTTAACTTGTCTGATCTGATCTGTGGTAGCAGAATACATCTAGGAGAATATTGACTTTTCTATTTCAGCAATAGAAAGCATTATGCTAAAGGCTTTTTTTTTTTTTTTTTTTTAAAAGCTCACCGCAGATTTCACCTATTGCTATTTGAGTAGTATGACCTTAAATTGTTGATCTCTTGTCATTAGAAAATTAAATTTAAAACAGTGACTATCAGCTTTTTGGAGTGGAAAGCTGATCTATAGTTCTCTCTCAGGGTAAGTCTACACTACAGGCTTCTTTCGCAAGAGTGCCTCCACACTACAAAAGTGCAATGCAAAAGCAATGCGCTTTTGCGCAAGAGCATCCAGACTGCATGTACGCTCTCTTGAAATAAAGCTGTGATTGCTATCACAGAATAGTCACCAGAGCACTTGTGCTTTTGTCGATTGGCTCTTTTTGCACGAAAACCTCATTTGCCTGTCCCCACACACCTTCTTGCGCAAGAAGGAGTTATTCCTTGTAAAAAGAGAAATACTTACACCACAAAAACTCTTCTGTTTTTTTGATTTACTGTAAATTTACTTGTGCTAAAACGCGCTTGAGGTATGGATGCTCTGCGGGTTTTTGTGCAAAAACAAAAACCCTGTAGTGTAGACGTAGCCCCAGTGCTATAAAAATAATGTCGTTTAAACCTATTATTTTTGTTAGGGCTGTTAATAATTTACTCAAATCGAATGCCTTGCCTTGTGTGGACAAGACTACTCTTGCAATTGTACCCTAAAACAAGATCAATGAAAGAGTCTTAAGAAAAAGTTATGCTAAACACTACCATAATTAGCTTATCCCAAAATAAAAAATTGTTAAGATTGAAAGTATATACAAATAACTTTAAAGATGGAAGGCTTCCTAGTGTATTGCAATTATTCCCAAACCTAGGAAATTAAGAATTACATTTGGACCTCTTTGAAGTGTAAACATATTTTGGTATGGATATGCAGTTAAGGCATCCAGTCAACCTTGACTGTCTTGCACGGACATCATACAAAAACATACTATTAGGGGATTTTAGCATTTTGTGGATTAGATTAAACTGGTATTTAAAGTCAGAAAAATTTGCATTTCCAAAAAGTTAATTTAAGGATGACTTTTCCTTAGCTTCCAAAACTCTGTAAGAATGATATTGTAAATGGGTAAAATATCAATAAAAAATGTTTGTATTTTTTATTACATATATAGAAGACACCTGGAGAATCTCTTTTTCACACATTGAAAAGGACATGATTAAGAACCATGGCAACACAAAGACATGTTGTGAATCTAACGGAGTAAAGTGTTGTAGGTTAGTAGTTTGTCTAGTATTTTTTAAAGTCTTTTAACCACTATATCAATTTAGTGTTTTCTTTCTAAATTTATAATTTAATTTGTGGTTTATCCCCTTAAGGAATAATTAATTACCTTTATGAAGGTTTCTTTTAATTTGCAAAACATTTCATGCATATCATCTAATCCTCACGAAACCCTTCTGTTGTAGGCAAATAAACACAATCTTGTGCAGTGCTGTGTGTGCCTGGCTTCCGTTGAAATCTAATTAAGATGGGGGCAGATTACATCACAGATTCAGATTCTATTTTTGCATTATAAAGCAAATAGATGAAATCTATGAAAAAACAAAGCAATTTCCTATACTACTTAAGTCTGATAAAAAAAAGCTAGCCCCAATTTGTTAGCTTGAGAATTCTATGGACTCAGACTTTAAGAACTTAGCCACTGCATGTACTAGATTTTGGGCACTAAACAAATTACCTATTTGAGGCAATTCATTAATAAGTTTGTGGGGGGGGGGGGGGAGAAGGAGGAGGAATTAAGTGAAGAATCACCTGTTGCGTTTTAAACACTATAGTTTAAGGAACGGATTGACAGAATCCATTTTTCATGCTGTAGTTTTACAAATCATAAACTCTCCTGAATTTCATTAACAATTTTTAGCATAGGAAGAGAGACTACAGTCGTCATCAAGTAGTTTACATTATGTATCAGATTTTGAGAACTGATACACAAGATATCAAATTTTTAGGAGAATCATTTTATTTTTGGCTACAACAGTAATTTAAAAGTGTTTTATAAACTGGGGTTCACTGAAGTTGATGTAAACACATGTACATTGGTATGGGAAGGTGCAATTGTCTCCTGTCCAAGGGAAAGCAGTGTGTTCGAAAAGGACAGCTTTAATTCGCAGAAGTCTCCAAAACTGCCTACTGGTGGCACCTGCTTTAGGGAGTGCAAAAAGGAAGCATATGGCTGCCCGACACTATCAGATTCTAGTTTCTCAGTTACAATGACTCCCAATGGAATGAAGTTTCTTCTATAATGAATCACTGAAGCTTCCCTTGGACACGGACCTTCAACTTGGGGAGCCCCGTGGGAAAGCTAATACATCCCAGGATTATATCTGGCCAATAAAAATGCATTGAGTTTCCATACTTTATAGGCAAATATTATTGGCAAGATTCTTGATCTCAGCGGTTAGGGGTCAGAGCATCAGATACCTCACAAAAAGCAAAATGTTCTGTTCTTTGACAAAATTCCCAGAAACACTGATGTAACATACATTAGGCATTTCCCAGTAATAATGTCTTATCCTTCAACAGGAAAAGTTGTCTGAAACTTCTGAAGCATCTTCTGGAGCTGCTTAAAGCAAAACATGGAAACAGAAGGGGGCTAGACAAATTCTGTTCCTACCATGCCAAAACTGCTTTTTTCCAAGCATGTGTCCTTTGGCCAGATGACAAGCAATGGCTGCTTACAGACCTTGAGACCTGTTTTCAGAAATTTTTGGATTACTTTCTGGATTGCCTAAACAACGCATACCTTACACACTTTTTTATTCCTACATACAACCTTTTTAGCCGAGACCTGATTGATAAGGCAAGCAGTGACTTCCTTTCAAAGGAAATTAAATATGAAATAAATAATAGATTCCCAATATTTGAACTGCAGAATTAAAGAAATATTCTATTATATTTTCAAATTTTTCTTTATTAAATATTCTGATTTACAGAATGTAAATGAATCAGGTTTTGAAGTTATTCCTCGGGAGTTTCTGGTGCTATGAATAATGGTGGTAATTGTTACTTAGTGATACAGGCAAAGGAACAACAGGACAAGCTTTTCAGTTTTAAAATCTGATGCCAAACCATTTTCATGAGATCTCTCCAGATATAATGATATACTGGCAAAGGGGCAAGAACTATCAATACTTTCCTGCTCTTACTTCGATGGGATTGTCTACACAGTGCAGCAATGTAAATTATGAGGAAGCGATTCCTCAAGTGAACTACCATTACACATTAACTGGCCTGCATAGTCCCTGTGGGTGTGCACTAACTGCTCCTTCATGCACTTTAACACAATACAGATGCATACTACAATGCTAGGAAACTCAGTGTTCACTAACACGGTTTACATGGACCAATTAGTGTGCAAAAGAGTGTGCCTTACAACTCTCACACAACTGTAGTAGACAGTGCCACATAGTGTAAATAAGCTCTCTGATTCTAAGGCAGCAGTGATTCAGTAATAAAAACAAAATAAGGATTTGATGTAGAAAAATGACAAACATTTACAGACAAATGGCCATATTATGCTCCTGGCTACACTGGTGCAGTCCTGAAGTCAATTAAGCTGCACCAGTATAAACAGAAGAGATTACTAAGACAGCCTTCATGTGAAGGACAATCATCAGTGGCTGACAGAAGCAGTTACTGACTTAGACCCCCCAACTAACAGCCTTTTTCTATGTATTTTCAGAGATGCTCCACGGATTTGTGTTTCCACAGCAATTTGCAAGAACAATTATAAATATTAAGTATAAATATATATGGAGTTGGTGGAAATACTGTTTGAGGAAGGGATATAAGCGACCAGTCGCTTATGCTTATTGGATAGTCAAGAAGTAACCCAACTAGTTCCCCACACCCCGCCTTGCTACCTCCATCAGAAAGAGACAGTAAGTGGGGGTGGAGCAGGAGCCCTTGCTGGGGGGAGCCAGCTCCCCCCAGAACTGCCTTTCGGTGAGGGGGCAGGGGCGCAGTGGGGAAACGATGCCCTTGTGGGGCTCTTGTATATTTCAAAGGCTGAAGCGCTGCAATGGGAACATGGGGCCAGCGGCGACTGCTTCAGTCCCCACTGGTCCTGTGCTCCCTGTGGTGCCCTCCCCCCACGGACCCTTTGAAAAGGCAGCAAGGGGAAGGGAACAGGAGCCAGTGCTGTGGGGAGCCAGCTTAAAAGCTGGATCCCTGTAGCACCGTGACAAGGGTGCCATCTGTTCCTCCCCACCCCGGTTCCTCTATCAGAGGCAGTTGGTGGAATAGGAGAGAGAGCTGCGAAGCAGCCCCTGTTTGCAGGGGTCCCAGTGGGGAGCTGGGCCCCACTGCAGACAGGGTCTGCTGCCGCCAAGCAGCCCCTGTTCATGGCAGCCAGAGCTGGCTGTGGACATGGACTGCTGCCAGAGCAGCCTCTGCCCACGGCCAGCCCTGTCCACTACGAACAGGGACTGCTGGACTCAGTGCAAGCCAGGACCAAGCCGTCCTGGCTCGTGCTGATCACTGCGCCTCTGCATTTTAAAGGTAGCAAGAGCTTGGCAGCTCTTAATACATTTAAAATGCAGAGCTGTAGTGCGGGTGGCTCCTGGAGCTGGCACAAGCTGGGACTGTTTAGTCCCAGCTTGAGCCGGCTCCTGGAGATACCCCCACTGAGGCTCTGCAGAGTGGTCCTATTGACTAATCTATATGAATTGATAACCATATTTTAACATCTTTGGTTTGAAGTCAGAAAATGGAAGAATGCATGTCAATTCTGATAGAACTGATGAATACAAATGTAACCCTTCCACTGGGTAGGCCTGGCAGCAACCAGGGCCGGGTTCAATATCTAGGGGTCCATCTTTCACAGAACGAGCTCGAGCCCGCACCCAGTAGCCTGGGAAATTCACACACCCCGGGTGCCTCCGAGAGGCAATGCTTCCCCACTCGCAAGCACAGAGTCTGTGTGTCAAAAAGAAACTTTTAATGAGAGAGAGAGAGAGAGGGGGGGGAGGGGGGTCACATGGCATGATCTTGGGAAAATACCACAAACAGAGTTCATAGCCCCCTCCCCTATGAGTAACTTTCCCAGCTCAAAAGGATTGAGCAATGTCTTTTGCCTCTCAGGCTCCCCAGTTCAACAAGGTAAGTATTCTGTTCAATTACCCAAACTTTCTCTGTACCCCACATCAAACGCCCCACTTACGGCTCTGTCTAGTCAGTGCAGACCCTGACGACTCTACTCCTTGAGCCTGAGGCTATGCCGGCTGCCATCACTCCTATTTGCTGCCCACTGGTTGTCCCCGGCTGCTCACCGGTCATCCCTGCAAGCCACTTGCCGCCGCTCCCAACAGCCGCCACCCACGCATG